GTCAAGTTTGATGCATTGAACACGGACACAGGCTGAACAGGAAACAGATATTATACTTCAAAATAAAATGAATACAAAATGGCATGCGGGCGTTACRCTGAATGTTAACTGATAAGTAATAAACAAACACAAAAAACTCCAGGTTAATGAATTTAAATGTGGGGAACAAACTTCTTTGAGATAACTCTAAGAAGTTTAAGATGAACTGAGATAATAAAAATATTAAACTGATGTGCATATGTGTATATATTTGCTCTGAAGCTACTGAAACCCTCAGATATCAGTGTTGACCTGTAGCTACAGGTTCTGACYCAGTTAGTGAAGGCTGAGCATACCGGACTGGGTCTTTGCATGCTGGGGGTGCTGCAGGGTGACAGTCAGGTAGGAGCCACTCAGCAGGTCATCATTCAGATCAGACACCAGGAGGACAGGAGGTTCTGGATCTGAATCCCACTGTCCTTCCTCATCCTCATCCTCTCTTCTCATGTCTTCATCATCTACTGTGTCCATCTCCTCTTCGTCAGGTTCATACTCCTGCCCATCACTGTCGTCTTCATTGTAGCCCGTCCTGCGTCTCCAGTGCCGGCGATGCAGCCGTTCTTTGTCTCCTTCACTGTCACCCTCCTCCTCATCGTCATCTTCGTCTTCGTCATCTTCATCGTCGTCRTCTTCATCATCGTCATCATCGTCCGATTCGTCCGACTCGTCTCCTCTTCGGTGCATCCTGGATCCTCCGCGGAGCCTGACGCCTCGTCCTCTCCGACCCACCTCCCTCATACCCATCCCTCTTCTTGTTCTGTGGAGGGAGGCGGAGCCATGAGTCCCAAGCCCCGCCCTGTTTCCTCTGTGGGACAGGCCTCCTCGCAACAAGCCCCTCCTGTTGGCACCGAACGCCCTCCTGTGGCCCCCTCCTCGAGCAGAGAGAACCATCTTTCTTCTTTGAGATCCTGCAGAGATTACAACAAAATAACAATACCTCYTGAAATTCAAGTACTAGTTACTGTCCAGTACTTTGTTTCCAGGAGAAAAAAACTTTAGCTAAGGTTTAGCTTTAAACAGACAAACCATCATCATCACTGGCCGAGTCGTCCCCGTCATGGCTGTGTAGGTGTCGCCGATAAATCTTAGCTATGCGAGCGTCCAGCAGGGAGGAAGATTTCCTCTTCTGAACATGAGAGAAGATGAAATACGACCATTAAAGGAAAATTATAGTRGCTAGAAAATAAAGAGAGTAGAACAGTATCTAATGGTAAAAGTAGCAGAATTGTACAYAGTAACARAATGCTAGCTAAAAGCTAAAAGTAGCAGAATGACTCACAAAAGGCTCCCCTCTCCTACATGATGCTTTTTGATTCATTAAATTGTTCACAACACACTTGCTTACTTAAAGACCGTGTAAAGTAAATTTTAATGCTTTCTTCATTAAACATTATAAATGTCACGCTTGCATTRTTGTAAATGAGTAAAACGTCTCACAACTGTAGATAGTTTAATTTTGGAGGTATAGATCAATTTGTGTTTAAAGATATGTTTGTTTCAGGATTTTCTGGGTGTGCTTTAAAAGGCGGCCGCGTGATGAAACGCAGCCGCCTTAARCATAACCCCGGCTTAGCCCCGCCCCCTACTGCTCCAGCAGTATAAAAACTTCTTCGCCTTGGCCTTGCTGTYCACTTGCTAATCGCAGATAGCATCAGATAGCAATAGYAAAGATATTTTGTTGTTGTYAGCTGGCTAAACAATTCCCATTTTACTTCAGATAGTTTTACTAACTACCTGGAGACAGTTGGGATTTATGGACTGTAGTTTGRTTCATGAGGCTCTACCGACCTCCTCCCTCCTGGACTCTCCTCCCGACATCGCCACCTCTCCTGCACCTGACGGTGGGATAATGCCTTACCCAATAAACGTAGCAAGTTGCTGTTTGTGCTTATATTGTAAATATTCTAAGTGTTGGCTATTTAGTGCATGATTCAAGTTTCGAGGGACCCTCCGACTCGCGCGTGTTAGACTCCTTGGTCTGTGTTTTAAGACGGGTCGGGTGGGGGACCGTGGGGAGAGAGGGCGCTGCGAGGCACTGAGTCCACGGCCCCGGGAAGTGGTGAGGTCGGAGCGGAGAGGGCGCTGTAAAGCTCGAGCCCTTCCTTGCAGACCCAGAGCCGGTCGCGGCGCACCGCCCTGACGAAATGCGCCCGGAGAATGAGTAGGGCTGGAGGACTCCAAGGCTGCCAGCCTTCACGAACATCTCCTCCTCAGTACAGGACACAGACACAGTGACGCTCAGCGCATGGGCGTGGCTTCAGCTCCTCCAGCTGACACGCCCCCAGCGTTTTCAGAACAGAGCCAATGATGTTTTTTCATTATTTTTCAGACTTAATTTTATAAAGTAAACTATGTTTTTAATCAGTAAAATTTAGAAGGGTGATTAATAACACATATTTCTGTTGTGTGACAAACTCAAAACACAAATTGAATTTTACTTTACACGGTCTTTAAATCACAGAGTTGAACTTAAGTTGATTGAAAAAAAGTCACCATCTGCTGGTTGTAGTATTTATCTGGAGGAGAACCAGTCAGTTAGCCTACATGTCTCTGTTTTCAGGGCAACTCTGYTTTAAATGTTTGCAACAAGCTACAAGAGTTAGCCTGTTAGCAGACTGTTGCAGAATTATTTCAGAGGTTAAAATCCAGTTAATTAATTAACATCAGCTTGTTACCTTACAGAGAGCAGAACAGCAAAGAAGAAATAACAAAAGAAACTATAGAATTATAAATACATTTGAAATAAATACAAAAACAGTCTTAACAGTGGTGTTTTAGATTTCATTACCTTTAGATACATATTGAAAATGTAAATGTTTTCAGTATTTGTAATTATATCATCAACTTTGATCCTAAATATTATCATTATAAAAATGGCTGATCACAAATTATTGGTTTAATATAATAATAGTGTGAAACTGTAGTATTTTATCCAAGGCTACCATACTGTCAGAGTCTCATACCAGCCCATGCCTTTAGAGAGAAACTAGCTGAAAGGTTTTAAAGATAAATTCCTCAGACCTGAWGAACACTCACCAGTGGAAGACTATCACTTCCTTCACCTTTAGACTGTGGAGAAAACAGGAAAATGTCACTTTCACATTCAAGAACTACAGAGGTGCCAACCTGGAGTCATCCCAAAACATTAAGATTGTCTCGGAGCATTTGCGTCGTGCGTTCGTTTTTGNACCACACACGCAGACTTTTCTGGCATTATTCCAACGTGTTTCTGCCTTCATGCGACGACAGATTGGATGCCTTAACAGAAGTCTAGTAGGGTATTCACAGGATTGGAGTGCTTTGTTGATGCGCTTGTGTTTCTTTGTCCTTCTCTTCGGTCCTTGTGGGGACATGTTGAGTTCTGTGCTCCAGTGGGTGGTGGTTACTCAGACATGGTTTTAACAGCAGCACAATGTAAATCCATTAAAAATGTGTGTAAAATGTATGCTTCTAATTTGAGAAACAAAAGACATCTGTCCTCTGCTAATATAAAAGGTCACTTATTTTGAGTAAAAAAGTCTATATTTTTAAGCATGTCTAAGAAGTAGAACACACTGAAACCAAGTGATCACTATTCAAATCATTGCAGCATTGTGTACCTCTCGATCAGTGATCCCCTGGACACAACTGGGACACTCCCAACAGCTGGGCAGGTCTTTATTCACCACTCCTTCACTTTGAACCTGCCAGGGGAGACCAAGACAAATGAAGAGGAAATAACTGATTAAATGTATCTAGGCTGTGCTTGGACCTACAATCATGGGAAAACACAAGTCCATCTTTTTTATTATGGGGTTTTACAAATCAAGTCAAAATAACAATCATCAGTTTTTTAAATCCAGTTCCATAAATAGTTCAAACCCTGTGCCAAAAGCATACAACAGTCACTGTCAATATTTACTAAAATAAAAATAAAAAAGCTAGGACCTGATGATCAAGGCACAATTTACATGAGGCAAATTTTGAGTGAAACTGGCTTTTCCTGTGTGGTTTGGTTGTTCATGAACACAACAATGGTGCTTGTTTCCACTGAAACAGAAGCCTTGTGAATCCAGGTCTCAGAGCAGAGGTTTTTGTGAACCCCTATGATAATGTACCGTTTTGTTTTAGTGAAGTGTCTATGATAATGTACTGTTTTGTTTTTGTGAAGTGTCTATGATAATGTACCGTTTTGTTTTAGTGAAGTGTCTATGATAATGTACTGTTTTGTTTTTGTGAAGTGTCTATGATAATGTACCGTTTTATTTAGTGAAGTTTTTATGATAACGTACCGTGAGGCAGGCAGGATGGGCGATCTGTGCACAGTTGGAACACTCCATCAGTGTGAGGGACAGGTCTCCACTCTCCTCCTGATTGGGTTCTTTGCAGATCTCACAGACAGCAGACAGRGGAAGGCCCGGCTAGAGGAAACACAGGAGATTATAGGACAGGTGCACACATCATACAAAGAATCAGWGCCGTTTCACATGCAACACAAAACTTTAATAAACCGGCAGATAAGAAAGCTTCTATTTAAATTAAAACTCTAATTTATCACCTGAAGATATCTGATCAGTGTCTGAATACTCAGTCCTGGTTCCTTTATTCTTATTCCTGACATCCTGTCACCAATCCATAAGATGATTGGAAGTCTTCTACGAAGGTGTTATTTTAAACTTGTCACACAAATTTGAATCAGGAAAATAGAACTCCCCAAAAAAAAAAAAACATTTAAATGTAATGTTACTGTTTTGTGTTTATAAAATATTGATGAGAGAATGTTTGTCTTATCATCTGTGAGTAACAACATGTGAGTTCCTGCACTGTAAAACCCCTCTGGTCCWGTTACCACTGTGTATGATCATTGAAAACATGTGTTCCTTACAGAGAGACACTGTCGCAGCACACAGGTCTGCTTCAGTTTGCCTGGTCCTCCAAACTTCTTCATGTCTCTGCAGAAGTTACAGTCCCCACACTCTGGTCTCACACAGGCCTCACACCGCTTACATCTGGAAGGAGTCACAACAGGACAGGAAACAAAGTGCACTGAGGACACTTTCACTGATATATTCATTCTTTCAGGATGGTAAAGTTTGGTCTCTTTAAACAACTGATCCAGATTAATGCAGATACAATCCATACAAACACAACCAAAGTCAACGTGTCTCAGCTGCTGATGGTGATTTAAAGACATGTAGGACAACAGCAACAAAAATAGTATATTTACATAATGAGGCAGGATTTGTCATTGTTAATTTACCGTATTTATCCGTGTATAATACGATCTCATGTATAATACGATCTCATGTATAATACGAGCTCATGTATAATACGACCTCATGTATAATACGACCTCATGTATAATATGATCTCATGTATAATATGATCTCATGTATAATACGACCTCATGTATAATACGACCTCATGTATAATACGACCTCATGTATAATATGATCTCATGTGTAATATGACCTCATGTATAATACGACCTCATGTATAATACGACCTCATGTATAATACGATCTCATGTATAATACGACCTCATGTGTAATATGATCTCATGTGTAATATGATCTCATACGATCTCATGTATAATACGACCTCATGTATAATACGACCTCATGTATAATACGACCTCATGTATAATACGACCTCATGTATAATATGATCTCATGAATAATATGATCTCGTATAATACGATCTCATGTATAATACGACCTCATGTATAATACGACCTCATGTGTAATACGACCTCGTATAATACGACCTCATGTATAATATGATCTCATGTATAATATGATCTCATGTGTAATAGGATCTCATGTGTAATACGATCTCATGTATAATACAACCTCATGTATAATATGATCTCATGTATAATATGATCTCATGTATAATATGATCTCATGTATAAT